TGGGGGCCGGCTTGAAGTCGCAGGACAGGACCACCGACTGCAGCTCGCGCCCCGCCTTGGGCTCCAGGGGCCGTGTGAGCACCATGGGGATGTCTGCCGCGGGAGGGGAGAGGGCAGCGCTGCGTCAGCGGAGGGACCGCAGGTTCCCAGAACCCACCCTGTGCCAGGTCTGCCACCAGACCTGCCAGGTCTGCGCCCCTTCGCCCCAGCGGCGCGCTCACCAGAGACCACCAGGCGTGCGGTGGAGCGCGACTTGCCGATGGTGAAGTGCACCGGCCCAGTCATGGTGGAGCAGGTTCGTCGCAGCGTCAGCCGGTGCACCGTGCCCTCCTGCTCCATGCCCACGGTGGGCCCGGCCTGGAGCACTGTCTTTCCCAGGAGCCACTTGGGCGGCCGCACCGAGGGGATGGAGGTCTCGCATTCGAACCAGGCAGGTGCGGGCTCCATCACAGTCACGTCCTTCAGGCCCCGCACGATGGTGATGGATTGTTCTGTGGGTGAGGGGCTGGTCACTGGGGCAGTCCCACAGGGAGGACCACCAGCAGCCACAGGCACAGTGGGGAGGTGCCAGGGTGGCCCCGCCCGCACCTTCCACAAAGAACTGGGCACTGGTCTTCACGTTGCCAGCGTCACACGTGTAGGTGTCCTCATCCTCCGGCTGCACATCGTTGATGATCAGCTTGCGGTAGAGGCCGTCGCTGACCATCTCGTACTTGGGTCCTGACTGCAGCTCCACGCTGCCCTTGAACCACTGCACCTGGGCGCTGGCCCTGGACATCTGGCACTCCAGCACACCGCGGTGCCTCTCCATGGCTATCTTGTCCCGAAGTGGGCGCAGGATGGTCACCGGCAGCTCTGAGGTGTGACCAGGGGTGAGGGGACAGGATAAGGGATGCTCAGTGCCCCCAAAACCCCACCTCAACCCCCACCCATCCACCCACCCGGGTCTGGGTGCTCTGCCTCTGCAGCCTCCAGAGGGCTGGAGCCTCTCTGCCAGGGCCAGCAGGTGGCGAGGCCAGGTGTCACCCTCGGCTTCTCTGGGACCCACTGCATAGAGCTGACCAGGTGAAGGGTGGGCGCACCACTCCCCCCCCACACACACACCACTGCACCGTGCGCCCTTGACAAGCTCATCCAGAGCACCCTGGCCTCACCCCTGCCCTGCCTCTTCACATCCACACCCCTCGCCCTGCACAATCCTGCATCAAGCAATTCCAAATCTCATATACCTTCCCCCCAACTTGTGGCAGACCCTCCCTCCTCTATGCCCTGACTGTGGCTAGGGCCATCTGTTAAGGCCTCATGCTCACCACATGCCGGGACCCCACAGTGCTTTCTCTCCATTGCTAAGTCCCAGGAGGAAGGATTTACTGTGACCTCCTGAGCTGCCTCTCCAAGACCCCTGTCTTCCTGGTGAGGAGGCAATACCTCCTTTTCCTCCTTCTGGGTCATTGGTGTCCTGGGACAGCTGCCCTGTCAGTCCCTGTAAGGCTGCAAAACTGTGCATTCACATACACTGTCCAGCAAAAACCCTCCCCTGGGCTCCCTCACCTTTGACTCGGAGCTCAGCTCGAGATTCTGCATTTTCGGCTACAAATCTGATCTCTCCTGCATCTTCTGCCAGGACCCTCCGGTAGATGAGGGTGTATGTCCTCCCTGGAAACACAGGCCAGTCAGTACTGGGAACAGGCCCTGGAGGCAGGATGGAGAACGAGCCCTCCTGACACCTGCCCAACAGCTCACCTTCCTGGCGGATGCGCACATTGTCACTGGGCCGAAGCTTACTGCCCTCCCAGAACCACTGGGCTGGCACCTCATCGTGAGAGATCTTGCAAGAGAAGGTGGCGCCCTCCTTTTCCATCACCTCCACATCCTCCAGGGGCCTCACGATCTGGATGTTACGACCTGGGGTGGCAAGAAGGCCGTGCCATTTGTGGATGCCCAGAGCTCCCCCTTACCCCTCCCACCCAGATTGCTGAGGGGTGCAGGGCGGGGCAGAGCCAGAGGGCTAAGCACTTTGCTGGGGGGATGCAGGGTGGCCAGGAGGCTCTGGCCCAGCAGACCCTGACCCTTAATCTGCCTACCTTGCACCTTCAGGGAGGCTGAGCTCTGAGCATCACGAGCGTCGCACACGTACACGCCCTGGTCACCAAGCTCACAGCGGAAAATGATGAGACTCCGACAGGCGCCCTGGGCCACCATGCCCACTGTCTTGCCCACCCTAAGCTCCACGCCGTCCTGAGGAGGAACGAGGTTGGGTCAGGCACTGGAGGTGGCCAACAGAGCAGTCCCACCCCTGCCAGCCCACAGTGACAGGCGGGAGCAGCCCAAGCCACCTTCAGCCAGCGCACGTCCACGTTGGGGCGAGACAGCTCACACTCCAAGGTCACCCTGTCCTTCTCTGTGACCACCACATCTTGCAGAGGGCGGCTGAACCTCACAGGCAGCTCTGGGTTGGCAGGAAGGGGGAGGTGAGAAGCGGGGCCTGAGATGTGTGGTCTCACACAGCCAGTTCTGGGAATGACACCCCCCACCCTGCCCTTGCCTGGCTCCCCGGGCCTCACTGGGGACAGAGGCAGGTGCACTCAGGAGTGCCCCCCCCCCCGTGCCCACGCACCAGTGACCGTGAGCCGTGCAGACGTGTGCACCCCCTCAGCTTTGAAGGCGATGAGGCCACTATCCTGTGGCCGCAGCCCCGACAGGATGAGGGTGTGGATGGGGCCTTGCACGGCCAGCTGGCACGTGGACCCTGGCTGCAGCCGCACGCTGTCTCGCGTCCAGCTGCCCTCCACGTTGTCGTGTGACAGCTCCACATCCATGGTGGCTGTGCCCTGCTCCCACACCTCCACCGCCTGCAGGCCCCGCACAAGCCGGACCTGGCGCACTGCGGGACAAACATGGGGGTGCATGAGGCACCGCCGTGAGACCCAGGCCCTTCAGCCAGCCCCCACTCACCTCCCCAGGAGCCTCAGAGCCAGCCAGGCATCCTGGAGGGAAAGGCCCAGCCCTTCCCTTCCTTCTCTCCCATCCTCCCTGCCTCCCGCCACCCCCCAGGGCCTGTCCCTCCAGGGGGACACCCCCTTCCGTCCTCCTTCCTTGACGCCCGACCCCCACGCTCAGCCTGCTGTTGCCACTCACTTTCCACGGTGAGCTTGGCCTGTGTCTTGTCGTCTGGAGTCTCACAGCCATAAAAGCCGCGGTCGGCAAAACCCACGCAGTGAAGAACCAAGCGGTGCCTGGTGCTCTCGGCGTGAATCTCCACATTCTTGCCTGGCGCCAGGGCCACTGCGTTCCGTGTCCACTTGACCTCGGGCCATGGCCGTGTCAGCTCTACCTCCATGGCCACTGAGCTCCGCTCCTCCACCGTCTGTGGCTCCAGCTTCTTTCTGAACAGCACTGGAGCCTCTGGGGTCATGAGAAAGGGAGGTCATCGCAGCCACTGCCACTCCCAGGAAAGCCAGGGCACAGAGGGGCCTGACCTCCACAGTCGGCACAGCTGCCCCCACCGTGACCTCATGTTCTCACTCCACACTAGGCCCAGCTGCACACCTGTACAGATACAACTGTAGAGAAGGGAACAGAGGCCCCGGGAGCTGCTTCTTCCTCAGCCTGTCTCTCACCTCCCACCCTCCTACTCAGGACAAGCCCACCATGACCAGCAGCAATGGGGCACGGTTGGGGGGGGGCAGGTAACACAGACGCTGAGCCCCCAGCCAGTCTGCCCCAAGGAGACCCTGGACACTCTACGTGAAGGAGTGAAAGGAGCCAGTCAGGTGCACCTCCCAGTCCCAGGCTCTGGATGACCTTTCCAGGTGTCCATGTTACTAACTCACTCAGAACCAGCAGCAGGTCCCCAGGTGAGGTCCCAGCACCGCCCCCCGCCCCGCCCCCAACCCTGCTTGCACTGGCTAACTCCACTCCCTCCCACCTTGCCGACCATGGGGCTCAGCTTGGGATGCCTCCTCCAGGCAGTCTCCCTTGATGGCCTAAACCTCTGCCCACCCACAACCAGACGCACCTTACAGAGGTTTACTTTGTCCCCTTCAGAGTAGGTATCTGGCCCCTGGGTCCCACCTGAGTCTCCTTTCCTTAGCCAACAAAGCCCAGTGTCCCTCGAGGTCACCCGAACCAGCTGGACACAGGTTGGCATCAGAAAGCAGCCTTCGAACCAGTCCCCCTGGGAGGCCCTCCCACGTACCTCGCACCCGGAGGGCAGCAGCGGAGGAGACCCCCTCGGCCTCTGCAGTGATCTGGCCTGGGTCGTCCAGGGTCAGGCCCAAGATGGTCAGGCTGTGGCTCGCGCCACTCTGTGAGATGAGGAACTTCTCACTGGGCTGCAGCAACGCGCCGTCCCGGAACCACCTGACTGCTGCATCGCTGGGGGACACCACGCACTGGAAGGTGGCCTCCTGGCCCTCTTCCGCCACCACGGCGCTCAACCCAGACATGAACTTGACCATGCGGGGGGCTGCAGACAGGGGTTTTGCTTGAGAGATGAGTAGGAGAGGCAGAGACCCCCCCGCCCCATGCAGACACAGAGAGCACACACCTTCTCCAGGAAGGCCCCCAGATGCGTCTCGCCCCTGCCTACCGCTGACGGAGAGCTGCGCGCTGGTGCAGTCATCCCGGGTCTCACACACATACTGCCCCGCATCCTCCAGCCGCAGGCCGGACACGGTGAGTGAGCGCCGGGGCCCTGCGGCTTCCATCTGGAAGCGCTTGCCAGCCCGGAGCTGCGTGCTCCCGCAGCGCCACACCACCTCGGCCTGCGGTGGGCTCAGCTCGCAGGCCAGCGTCACCGTGCCACCTAGCTCCCCGCTCACAGGCTCCAGGGGCCGGCAGAACTTAGCGACCACCTCTGCGGGATGGAAGGGGGGTGTCAGCCGCGGGGCTTGGGCCAGGGGACAAACTCTGTGCCAACCAGTCATGCGCCCAGAGTGCCACTCCGGCTCCATGCCAGGATGCTGCCTACGCAACCTCATGGGAGACCCTCCAGCCCCACGGGTGCCCCAGTGCACACGGGGCTCCCAGAGGACACCCCAGTCCCTCTGACCTTCCACCTGCACTGGGAAGTCCTGCCCATCTGCGCCCACGCGGCAGCTGTACACTGCGGTGTCCAGGGTTTGCGCGCCGCGGATCGTCAGGGTGTGGGTGTCCCCCAGGCTGGCCGTTTCGTGCCGCTTGCTGCGGCGGATCTCCACGCCATCCTTGAGCCACGTCACTGCGGCCACGGAGGGCGTAGCCAGCATGGCGGTCAGGACAATGTCCTCGTGCTCCCTGACCACCACAGGCTCTCTGCGGCCAGGTCTCTCCACCGTGGGGGTCTCAGGCTCCAGCTCTGTGGGGAGATCAATGAGCATGAGAGCAGGGCCCTTGCATTCCTGGCCTCACTCATCCCACCTAGGGGCTGCACCGGGGGATGAGATCTGAAATGGGACACACACACCCCACCCAAACTTCCACTGCTCTGCCGCTGCCTGGCCCGTCCAGTCCTCCTCTGCTGAGACTCTGCTGAACAAGCCTGAGAGTTAATCCAGCAAGGCTCCATGCCACCTAACGGTCACTATCCAGGCTCCCGGGGGTGCGACAGGGTGGCCAGGAAGAGACACCTGGGGTCACGGGCCCGGGAGCCAAGAGCTGAGAGCCCAGCATCCCTGCCCAGCAGGGAAGAGGGGGCCTCATGAGCAGACACTGTAGACAGTGGGCAGCAGGCAGGTCAGAGAGACCACAGCCTGGGGCCTGGGCCCACATTACTGAAAGACATTGGAGCAGGGTCAGGAGAGGAGACAGGAGAAGACAGCTTGGCCCAGACCAAGATGGGCATCAGAGCAGGGCAAGCCCGCAGGGCTGACTGAACATCAGCTGGACACTCGGGATCCCAAGGCAAGAGACAGGGAGCCAAGCCCCGCTGAGGGCAAACCCCTCAAGTAAGTCTCCCAGAACAGCGCTGGGCTCCAAAACTGTGCATGGTGCGTTTGCAATGGGAAACGTGTCTGCCTACCAACCCTAGACAGAATGGCTACGGCCACAGACCACAGGCCTTGGTGGTCAGGTTGTGTGGGGGTAAGGTGGGGATGTGGCAGAGAGGGGCAGAAACTGGGGGATGCAAATGTCGGGAATGTCCCAGAACAGGGGCTACAGGGAGTGTCTCCAATCCAAGGACCTGGGCAGTGGACAGAGCCCTGGGCCAGGCCCGTCAGCAGAGACCCCAACACAGGTACAACACACAGCCCTGTCTGAGAAGGGCTCATTTCCTGATTTGTCAGGAGTTTATACCCTCTTCCAAATGCTGGCCCCCACCTGTAATGTTTAGGTGGAAGGACACCTTCTCTCCCCCAGCCTCACAGCTGTACTCCCCGGTGTCCGCCTTCCCCGCCTGCTGCACCACCAGCCTCCTGCTGCAGCCTGTGGCCTCCATGCACACTTTGGAGCTTGCATTCAGCTTCTTCCCATCCTTGTACCACGTCACCTCTGTCTTGTCCTGAGCCACCTCGCAGCTCAGCATGACGCTGGCCCCCGCCTCAGCCTGCACCTCACTGCATGCCAGCTGCTCCTTGGCAAACATGGCCAAGGGCTCTGGGGACAGAGAGGGACACACAGGAACAAACACACCATCTAAGTTAGGAAGGCAGCACTGGGAAAGAAGAGGTAAACGGGATGGCTGGAATAGTCTCCAGGCTCTGCACGTGCATGGCTTGCAGGGTCCTTCCCATGTGGGCACGGAGTCCCCGCAGCTCCCTGCTGCAACCTACTCTGTGTCAGCATCTGCTGGCAATGCAGGGAGAGTGGAACTGTACCTCCTATCAGTGCATGATTCTGTTGATACACTGCTGATTTCAGTTCACTGATATTCTGTCTAAATATAGGCCTGGAAAGCCATGACACACTGGCCTGCACTCTTTCCCCTGTCCCATCGTGTTGTACTACAGAAGCTACGCTGCCATGTAAGATGGGATAAGAGTGTATCTCCTTTTCTCTACAAGAATGTCTGTGAACAGGATATAATTTCCAGAATGCCTGGAAGGATTTACCAGGCAAGTCACCAGGCTTCCATACTGTTCCATGAAGACACTCTGGTTCCTGCTTCTGTTGTTCCAATGACGCTGTGGGCATTGTCCACTTCTTACGTCCATTGAGATTTGCTTTTCTACAACCACTAGGACCATACTTCACCACTGTTCTGATTTTCTGGCATTAAAGAGTGCCAGATTCTCTCAAGTGACTTGTCAGAAAGACACACAACAGGTTTTGTAGTGTCCATACACACCCACAAACCATGATGTACTGATACAACAGCAAACTGCTATGGGGGCCCCCAGGAGTCAGGCAGGGCTGCTCTGAAGTTCAATTTTCCCACAAGAAGGAAAATAAAGATAGGTCACAGACTTGTCTGGAACCAGTCAGGAGGCATCAGTGTCCCTGAGCACCACCTGGGAACACAGTGGGATGGATACTGCCTTATCAGTCAGGGGCTGCTACCACTGAGTGTGCTCATGTTCCACAAGCCACTTACTCCTCTCCCTCCCTCAACCTGTACCTCATCCAGGGGGAATTCTGACACAGGATATCCCAACTGAAGACAAAAAGAAACAAGATTTGCTTTGAAAACAGCTCCAAACCACACAGGTGCTCATCACAGGTGTTCAGCTACTACCACTTTGCCGCTCGTTATTTATTTTGCCGAGATGCTGCAATAAACATCTATCTGCGTTTTGCACTGAGGGAGCTTCCACACCCATGAGCATGGCCCAGAATACCTACAACCTCAATAATGCAAGTTCAGCCTCGAGATGGTTCCAGCTATGATCAGAAGGCTGAAGCGTCCTCTTATCCTGGCTTACTGAAACCCAAACATCTCTTGATAGTGAGAACCTTTAAATGAGGCTATGGAAGCCACTAGAGCATCTGCAGGTGAGTACATCTGGTCAATCTCAGCCCAGTGCAGCACATAGAGCCTGAATCCCGGACGCCAAAGGAGCCACAGTACGTTCTGAAGGGGTGCTGGGGACAGTGGCTGAGCATGGCCATGTGGACACACCATGGGGTACCCAAGAGGAGCTCTCTCTTGTCTGGACACTCTTCCCTTCCCACATCCGTGGGTTCAGCCACCAGAGTGAAATGGAAGGCAGAAGGCTGGGATCTGGGAAGAGCATCAGGGTCTGTCTGGGCTGCGCACTAGTGCCATCATCACTAGCAATCAAGGATAAAGTATTAGCTCCAGAACTGACCTGTGACATCCAGGTGGAAGGACACCTTCTCTCCCCCGGCCTCACAGCTGTACTCCCCGGCGTCCGCCTTCCCTGCCTGCTGCATCACCAGCTTCCTGCTGCAGCCCTTGGCCTCCACATGCATTCTGGAGCTGGCACTCAGCTTCTTCCCGTCCTTGTACCACGTCACCTCCGTCTGGGCCTGGGCCACCTCACAGCTCAGTGTGGCACTGGCCCCCGCCTTGGCCTGCACCTCACTGAGTGCTGGCTGCTCCTTGGCAAACATGACCGAGGGCTCTGGGGACAGGGAGGGACACACAGCATCAAACACACCATATCCATTAGGGTCGCAGCACTGGGAGAGCAGGCCTGGATGAGGGTGCAGGGCCACAGAAACTCCTCCAGGCTCTGTGCTGGCTGCACAAGTACCCAAAGTTCACTATAGGCTCTACCACTGTTCCACATGGGGATGCTGGAAAAGACTTCGCTGTGCACACATACCTCTGGGAGAGGTGCAGGGGTGTTGCAATGCACACGCACCGCAGCCTTCCCAGGTGATGCAGTCTTTCCTCACGGTTGTGCAGGGAGCTGCTGCCGCTCCTTGCTCTCACCTACCCTGTGATGTCCACTGCTGGCACCTGCGGGGAGGGACATGTCCCTCCTGTGGTCTTTCCACGTAAGTCCCTGATGACTCACACAGTGGAGCACCGTTCAGGTTTCTCTGACTCTTCTCTTCTGCAGTGTGGTATCATTGCAATGCCCTGTCTGGTTATCAGTTATTGCTAATTATGGCCTGTCCTTTACATATTCGTTTTTAGGAGCTCTCGCACTTGCATTAGAGCTTTGATAATCATGGTTTTGTGAATAATTTATCCATCATTGTCACTTGCCTTTTCATCCCTTTGTGTCCTCTGATGATGTAAAGTTCTCAGTTGTGATTTAGGCAGGTATGTCAATGTGTCCTTTGTGGTTGGTGTGTTCATATTCTGTTTCAGAAATCTTTCATTACCCTGAGGCCATTAAATGTTGTGTGTTCTCTGCTAAGAGCGTGTTTTGTCTTTCACACTGGAATCCTAGCTTGGCTGGAGTTGGTACCTATGCGTGATGTGGGGGAGCCCCCCATTTTTATTATAGATAAATAGATCATTTGAGAGAGACATAAAAGATAGATAGATAGATAGATAGATAGATAGATAGATAGATAGATAATACAGGTAGATGATGGATAGATATAGATAGATGATACATATATGTGTAGATACACACATAGGTAGGTAGGTAGATAGGTAGGTAGGTAGGTAGGTAGGTAGGTAGATAGATGATCCAGATAGATGATGGAAAGATGGAGTAATGGATGATACAGATAGATGATAGATAGATAGATAGATAGATAGATAGATAGATAGATAGATAGATACAGATAGATGATATAGTAGATTATAGATAGATAGATAGATAGATAGATAGATAGATAGATGATCCAGATAGATGACAGAAAGATGGAGAGAAAGAGAGAGAGAGACAGAGAGAGAGAGACAAAATCCACATAGATGATGGAAAGATGGAGAGATGTAAGACACAGATAGATGATATACAGATAGATAGAATAGATAGATAGATAGATAGATAGATAGATAGATAGATAGATAGATACAAAGTTACATAGTCTGAGCACCATTTATGAAAAGACAATCTACCTCTATACCATGTGCCAGAATTACAGAATAAAAATAATGGAAAAGGTGGGGGGGTGCCTGGGTGGTTTAGTCAGTTAAGTGTCCAACTCTTGGTTTCAGCTCAGGTCATGATGTCACGGCTTATGGGTGTGAGCCCCATACCAGGCTCTGCAGTAGCAGCACAGAGACCATGCATTCTGTCACTGCTCCACCTGGGCTCTCTCTCTGCCCCTCCCCTGCTCTAGCTCCCTCTCTCTCTCTCTGAAAATAAATAAATAAACATTAAAAAATCTCCTTTTAAAAACTGGAAAAGGATGGGTGGGTGAAGCTGGTCACAGCACGGTCTATTTGAACCTTACCACTTGTCCCCTTGTGCTATGCACCTATCCCCAAGTTGCAACCTGATGTCTTCCTACTACAGCTTTATCAGTTATATTACTTCATTTTATATTTCTCCTGATTCACTGTACAGTGTTGCACACAATTGTACCAGTGGAGCCATGTACGAGCTCCAGTTAGAAGGAGACACCCTGTGAATGTGATGTGCTATAGTTTTCTGTATCCTGTGTCAAATTAAGGAACAATCCTCTTATAGTTAATCAAGGACTTGACTACCTTGAATGTATGCTACATTTTATGAAATTCTTCTTCTGCATATAATGTAAAAATTTTATCAAGCAGTCATGTGAGAATAAAACAAAACAAAAAATGTGTTTTCCCTTTTAAGTTCTAAATATGACAGATTATACTGATATTCTAATGTTCTGGTGTTGGCCAATCCTGTGTTCTTAGGAGATGAGCTCAGACAGTGTGTCTGCACTTTGAGTATTGCACTGTTACTTGGACAATATTTTGTGTAAAATTTGGTATTGACATGCATCCGAGACTGGCCTCCAATTGCAATTCTTCACACTTGTCCAATTTGGGTATCAATGCAGCGTAAAATGGGTTAAGAGTGTACATCCCTTTTCTGTCCTCTTAAAGAATCCTCCATGATCATGGGACAATTTCTTTCCAGAATTTGTAATTTGTAATCTATAATTTGTAAATTGTAACTTACCAGCAGAACCACTGAATTTAATCTTGTCTAATGAAAAGGTTTTTTGGGATGGTTTCATTTTTAAAAAAGTTATAAGATTGTTCACATTGTTTATATCTTCTTGTGGATGTTTTGATACAGTTTTCGAGGAATTGGACAATTTGCCAAAACTTTTCAATTCTACTTGAGTAAAATAATATCACGTTCTACTGAAATGACGGGGTCAAAAGTGTTCCTAGTAAGTTTCTTACTATCTATACACATCTACAAATCATGTAATGATACACTACTGAAGAATCACACATTGCTATTAGGAGTCAATGTGGGGCCACAGACCACCTATTTGAGCTTAACCTCTCTTAAAGTAAGTTTGCAGACATCTCTGTGAACCAGCCAGGGATGGGCATACGCGTGCACGCCCCCCACCCCCACACACCACTAGCAAATGCTATGAAATAAATACATAAATACTGCTTCACCAGTCAGTGGCTGCCACTATAGTAACTTATCTGTCCCAAAGTGTGCTGATTTCAGAGAAGCTACTCATTCTTCCCAGCTTCAAAATATATGAATCAAACTCCAAGCACAATACTGACACAGAACATTCTCACAGAGACAAAAGGAAACTGAAATTTTCTTTCAAAAGAATGTTCCAGGGGCTCCTGGGTGACTCAGTTGGTTAAGCATCTCAGTCTTAAGTTCAGCTCAGGTCATGAGCCCACAGTTCCTGAGATTAAGCCCTGCTTTGGGTAATGTCAACACAGAGCCTGATTGGGATTCTCTCTCTCCCTCTCTCTGTGCCCCTCCCTTGCTCATGCTCTCTCTCTCTCTCTCTCTCTCTCTCTCTCTCTCTCTTCCCCCCCCCTCAAAATAAATAAATAAATAAACATTTAAAAATTATCAATAAGTAAGTAAATAATGTCCCACATGCCAGGTACACATCCAAGTTGCATATCTCCCAGCCCTCTGCTCCTGGTTTACTATGTGCGGACATTGCGACAGAACAGGGATCGAGATTTGGGTACACATAGGTGCACAGGTAACTTCCATGTCCACATGTGAGGCAGGAAGAGTGTCCCAAAATGACTGAAATTTTGGTAATGCCAAGTTCAGTCTCAAGACAACTCTAAGATGACTAGGTTGGGTATCTGAAATGCACCTGTATCAGGTTCAAAGATATTCAGCCCTCATGTGGTGCTGGGTGAGGTCATCTGGGAGCTTCTAGAAGTAATTCGCATGCCCTGGGGTGAGAGACATTGGCTCTACTTTAGGCAGTGAAGCCAGATGGAGCGAGAGTACTGGACACAGGAACTCCAGGAGCATTACTCCATGGAAACATCATGCAGGGTGCACAACAGGGGTGGTGTGCTATACACAGATCTTCCCATCCACTCTCCCAGGGCTTGGCCACAGGCATGAAGATGGGATATGGGAGATGTGAGGACAGGAGATCTACTGGAGAGACCACAGTTTCTTCATAGCTGTCAGTCAGTCAACACATCATGCTGAAACAGGGCTAACATGGCACGCCACCACCACCCAAGTACTGACCTGTGACATCCAGGAGGAAGGACACCTTCTGGCCCCCGGCCTCACAGCTGTACTCCCCGGCATCCGCCTTCCCCGCCTGCTGCACCACCAGCCGCCTGCTGCAGCCCTTGGTCTCCACGCGCACTCTGGAGCTCGCACTCAGTTTCTTCCCATCCTTGTACCATGTCACCTCCGTCTGGGCCTGGGCCACCTCGCAGCTCAGCGTGGCGCTGGCCCCTGCCTTGGCCTGCACCTCACTGCGTGCCGGCTGCTCCTTGGCAAACACAGCTGCAGGCTCTGGAGAGAGGGAGGGATGCATGGGGTCAAAGATACAATCCATGTGAAGAATGCAGGTCTGGGAAAGAAGATCTAAACAGGGAGGCAGGGGGACTGGAACTCTCTCCAATCCCCGCATCAGGTGTTTTTAAAATGAATACAGTACAGTACTATAAATGTATTTTATCTTTCTTGTTCTTTTCTTAATATCATTTCTTTCCTCTATCTTACATTATTGTAAGAATACAGAGTATAATACATATAACATGCAAAATCAACTATTTAAGTTATTGGCAAGACTCTCAGTCAACAGTGCGCTATTAACAGTTAAGTTCTGGGGGAGTCAAAAGTTATAAGTGGATTTTTTACTGCATTGGGCACTACCACCCCTAATCCCTACATCACTGAGATCAACTGTGGTGATTTTCTACTGTTTTGAATATTAAACCAACTTTGCATTCCTGGACTATGACTTCATCAAAGCATATTTTTTGACATCTTGCTTAGATGACTTTGCCAATGTTTTGTTGAAGATATTGGATATTGATATCCATAAGAGATTGGCCTATAATTTTAATCCTTCCTTCTTTCCTTGTCAGATTTTGGTGTTGATGTTATGTTAGTTCCATGAATCAAAAAAGAATGTACATCTTTATTTTATTCTCTAGGATAATCTCCATGAATACTTTCCATAATTTTTCAGCAGAGCTACTAGGCTTAGATCATTCTCTATGAAAAAAAGTTTTATTACTGTTTCCATTTATTTAAACTTATGGGACTACCTGAGTTATCTATTTCTTCTTGTGTCACTTTTTCAGATGGTTTTCTAAGAATTTGGTCAATTTATCAAAACTTTTCAAATTGATACCATAAAATAATATGCCATATGCTCTCAAAAAAACATTTTGGAAAAATGTAGGATTTCTGGTATCTGTACACACCCAAAAATATTATATACTGATATACCATCACAACTATTATGGGCTGGCAGCTAGGATTAATGTGGTGCTATGGCCCACCCTCCTCTGATGTTAAGACAAATTTAACAAAAGCAAAATAAATTTAGTCCTTAGACCTCCCCATGAAGCAGCCAGGAGGCACAAACACACAATACCCACTAGGAAATCCTATGACATACTGCTATATCAGCCAGTGATTGCCACCACAAGGATTCATCTATAGCAGAGCATGGTGATACTTACTCCTTCCCATTTCTAAATCTATAAATCAGACTCCAAGAGGAATTATGACACAGAATGGCCTTACTGAAGACACAAGGAAACAAGATGTGCTTTAGAAAAAGAACTCCAGAACTTACATGTGCATGTCTCAGGCACAAATCTATCAACCCTCTAGTTCTGTTTACTTTGCACAGGCACTACAAGAAAACAGCGGTCTAGATTTTGCTACATACAGGTGCACAGATAACATATATTCATGTGCAAAATAATACATTAAAACAAACAAAACATTAATAATCCAAAGTTTAGTTAAGATCATTCCAAGTATGATTATATCATCAAAATTTCCCCTACTCTGGTTTAAAGGAACTGAAATGTCTCTCACTAGTAAGAACTCCTTACAGCACTGAAGGGGGCATCTAGGGAGCCCAGGAAAGCACAGGCACATAACCAAGGTGTGAGATGCCTAGTCTACTTCAGAACCCAAACATGAAGAACAGCCATAGTCCTGGGCACTGAGGAACTCCAGGAGGGCCCTGTGCAGGTGCTCAGATGCATGACTGAGAGAACTGCTCAAAGACACAAAAATGGCCCCTCTCACTCCCTGAGCACCCTTCTCATTAAATTTCTGTCAGTCTAACCTTGGCTATGAAAATAGGAGGCAACAGGATGGCAGAGGGGAAAAGATGAAGAGTAAGGGAAGGAACATCAGAGCCTGTGGGATCTGTAATGCAATTCCTCCATTATGTCCAAACAAGACTGTTAGTATCAAAAGGAACTGACCTGTGACATCCAGGCGGAAGGACACCTTCTGGCCCCCGGCCTCACAGCTGTACTCCCCAGCATCCACCTTCCCCGCCTGTTGCACCACCAGCCTCCTGCTACAGCCCTTGGCCTCCACGTGCACTTTGGAGCTCGCACTCAGCTTCTTCCCGTCCTTGTACCATGTCACCTCTGTCTTGTCCTGGGCCACCTCGCAGCTCAGTGTGGCACTGGCCCCTGCCTTGGCCTGCACCTCACTGCGTGCAGGCTGCTCCTTGGCAAACACCACTGTAGGTTCTGAGGACAGGGAGGGATGCACAGGGTCAAAGATACTGTCCAAATCAGGAAGGCAGCACTGAGAAAAGACTGAATGGAGAGGCAGGAGAATTGAAAGTCTCTAGGCTCCACATAAGAGTGAAACCATATGGTATCTGTCTTTCTCTGTATGGCTTATTTCACTTAGCATAACACTCTCCAGTTCCATCCATGTTGCTACAAAGGGCCATATTTCATTCTTTCTCATTGCCATGTAGTACTCCATTGTGTATATAAACCACAATTTTTAGCTCTGCAACAACTGTGTGACTTGGAGAAGCCCCACTGCCTTCCTAAGGACAAGTAACACTATTTATCTGTACATTCTACCCCACTTCTCCATGTGGGCTGTTCCAGGTGGGGACTACATTCTACCACCACTCTGCTTGAGGTATTGTGGTGGGGGTGGGGGGGAATTCTGTAAGAGACTCTTGTGCATGTGGGATCTGTGGGGTCATTATGCCTGCACACCTCAACATTTATAGATGATGCAAACCACATGACTTTACCACATGACTGCCTAAGAACATCTTCCCTGCAGTGCAGGAATGTTCCTACAGCCAGAATATTTGGTACAATTTGATAGTAGAGCCACTAGGGTTATCCAGTATTGTGTGACAAGATTGTTTATTATGGTTCCAATAATTTATAAGGTTATAGGATTACTCAAATTGTCTATGTGTTCTTCCATGAATTTTGATATAGCTTTCTTGATCAATTGGTCAAAACTTTCCAAATTTACTTGCATAATGTTATATCATATTCTCAGATAATCACATCACAAATACACACATAGGGTTTTAAACATTTGTAAACACTCACAAACCATTAAACCCCAATGTAATACCAACATGTTATGTGCTGGCATCCAGGAGCCACATGTAACTGTACATATCTGAATTATATGAAAGGAAAATAAAGTCAGTCCTCAGACATCTCTATTGATTAGCCAGGGAAGCACAGATGCACACTAATCATTAGGAAATGCTGTGAAATAAATGCTAAATTACTTTCAGTGGCTGCTTCTGTGACCTCATTCTTAGCAGGGCATGCTGGTAGACAATATGCTACTCAGCATTCCATTGGCAAATGTATAGGTCTAACTACAAACAGAATTCAGAGGCAAAACACCAACTTATGACAAAGTGAAAATAAGATATGCTTTGATAGGAAATTCCAAGCATCACAGGTGTTTGTTGGGGCACATACACACCAGTCCTCTGCTCTCTGTGTAATCAACACAGACGTGGCAACAAAATATGGATCTAGATTTGGCTACGTATGGGTGCAGAGAGAACTCCTACACCTCTGTGAAAGGAGGGAAGTATCCCAGAACACATAAGACTTTGAAAACCCAAGGCACAGTCTCAAGATAATTCCAAGTATGACTGTGTGGCCCACATTTCCCCTTCCCCTGACTCAGTGAAGCCAATATCTCTTGCTAGCAGGAATCCATAGGTGTGTTTGGTGAAGATACAATGACCTCTCAGAATGACTCCAGGGGAGAGACATCTGGTTTACTTCAGCCCCAAGCATCAGGGAGATCCAGAGTCCTGGACTCCAACGTCCACCAATGGGTTCTGAGCAGGTACTGGGAACATGTGACCAGCACTATTACGTGGAAACACAATCTCTGGCGTATGAGAATGACCTGTCTCCCTCCTGTGCACTCCTTCCAGCCATGTTCCCATGGCCCCACCTGGGATATGGAAATGGAGGTGGTGAATGGGTGATGTCAAGGGAAAAGTCTAACTGAAAGAGCACGAGAGTCTGTCTTGGGGATAAACCTGTTCCACCTTCACCTCACGAAAAGGCTAATTTTGCATTCTCTAAGAACTGACCTGTGACATCCAGGCAGAAGGACACCTTCTGGCCCCCGGCCTCACAGCTGTACTCCCCAGCATCCGCCTTCCCCGCCTGCTGCACCACCAGCCGCCTGCTGCAGCCCTTGGCCTCCATGTGCACTTTGGAGCTCGCACTCAGCTTCTTCCCGTCCTTGTACCATGTCACCTCTGTCTTGTCCTGGGCCACCTCACAGCTCAGTGTGGCGCTGGCCCCTGCCTTGGCCTGCACCTCACTGCGTGCAGGCTGCTCCTTGGCAAACACTACTGTAGGTTCTGAGGACAGGGAGGGATGTTTGGAGTCAAAGATACCATCCATGTGAAGAATGCAGGTCTGGAAAAGAAGGTCTAAACAGGGAGGCAGGGGGACTGGAACTCTCTCCAATCCCTGGATCAGGTGTGTGGCCAAGAAGCCCCACCACCTTCTCAGCAACAACTAACAAAATTTATTTACACACTCTACTGCTTTCCTAGTTGTTCCAACTGGGGACAATACATTCTATCACTGCTCTGCCTGGGCTGTCCCCAGTGGAAACCAAAAATTCTATCACTGCTCATCAGCGATGTTCTGGGTGAGGACCATACATTCTATCACTGTTCTCTGCGGGCTCTTCCAGGTAGAGACCATACATTCTATCATTGTTCCACCTGTGCCTTCCTGTGGCTCTCTCGTTCATTGACTTGATGAATCACAAAGCGCAGTAAAGTTTCTGAAGTTTTTGGACCTTAATATTTGCTCTTCTGTGGTGTCATTGCTCAAGTGTTTTGCCCTATTTTCAACAGCACTGTCTCTTACTCATATATTCACTTGGGAGCTCTTTATTTAAGTAAAAGTCAGAGTGTTTGTGGTTATGTGTGTTTATATACCCTCCCCATCTTGTGATTTGCCTTTCCACACCTTCATGTTTCTAGTGACAAAATGTTAAGAGCTTTCTTATGGACAGATATATTATTTTGTCCTTTTTATTTTGTGCACTTTGTTCTTTTTAAGGACAACTTCATGCTGAAGTCATTAATGACTCACATTGTTTGATAAGAGCTTGAACCACATTTCTCACTGAGGTCTCTAACCCACATTGAGCTGAGATTTTGCATGGGAAGAAATAGACATCCATCTTCAATTCCGTTTTCCATATGGTTAATAGTCTTAGTACCATTTGTGAAAGACTGACCCTCCACTACAGTTACACTTAGCACCACGGTGAAAACCAAACTAAAAAACAAAAAGCAGAAGGGACTCAGGTTTTATACAGACCTGTTTCTGGATTCACTTTTCTGTTCTCTTGGGCTGTTTCTCAGTCCCTACATAAAGACCCAATTGCCTGAATTGCTGTAGTTTTATCAAAAGTCTTGATATCAAGTAAACTAAATATCATTGTTTTGGAGGATTTTTTTGTTTTTTGTTTTGTTTTGTTTTGTTTTGTTTTGTATTTTTCAAAGTGGCCTTCCTCTCTCTGACTTTGCAATATACTTGTCAATACTCTTACTCACAGAAGAGCTATTATTTGGGTGTTGAAGAGGATTGAACACTTCGGGGTGTTCCATCAATTTCCATCCATGATTTAGATCTTATTCTGTCTCTCAATAAAGTTGAATAGTTTTTGCCCACAAAGCACCTCAAGATCCTTTCTTAGACTTGGAGTTGGTAACAGGATTTTTCTGATGCTATGTTAACCCCTTTAAAATGTCACTTTCCAGCTTCTGGTGTCTGGTGTATAGATACAGAGTGTTTCCTGTAGTGATTTTTGTATGTCCTAATCTTACTCTCTTTCCCATCCAAAATGTAACTGTTTGGGATTTTCCACATTGATAACCATATCTTCTGTTAGTTTCAGTTTTCACTTTTCCAGCTTTCATGTCTTTACTTTTATTTTCCTTCATGGTGTGCTGTGAATATTGCATAAAAGTAAGGCCACTCAGTTTCCCTGTCTTGGTCCCATCTCAAAGGCAAAGTTTTCAAGTTTTCATGTGAAATTTGATGTCAGGTATTCAATACCACCAATTATTACATTAAAGGCAAAATGTTCTACTTAAAGTTTGTGAAGAATTTTTTGGTAGTAATTGATGCCAAATATTATGGAATATTCTCCCTGGATTTCTGATGTTATATTTTATCTAGTGCTTTTATTTATCATTTATTGGGGAAATCACATTGCTTTTACTTTTATTTTGTTAATATCAAGCTATTGTTGATTTTTCTGTTAGTTTTTTTATTAATTATTTTTTTAAATTTACATCCAAGTTAGCTAACATATAGTGCAATAATGATTTCAGGAATGGAATCCAGTTATTCATCCCCTATATATAACCCTCAGTGCTTATCCAAACACGTGTCCTCCTTAAAGCCCTTGCCTTTAGCTCATTCCCCCACCTAACACCCTTCTAGCAACCCTCAGTTTGTTCTCTGTATTTAAGAGTCTCTTATGGTTTGCCTTCCTTCTTGTTTTTATATTGTTTTTGTTTCCCTTCCCTTATGTTCATCAGTTTTGTATCTTAAATTCCACATATGAGTGAGTCACGATATTTGTCTTTCTCTGACTAATTTCACTTAGCATAATATTCTCTAGTTCCATCCACATTGTTGCAAATGGCAAGATTTCATTCTTAATGATTGCTACTTGTTGATTTTCTAATGTTTCTGGTGTTGAACCAGACTTGCATTCCTGGAATATGACTGTTGTCCTAGTGTGTTGTTCTGTTGATAAATTGCAGAATTCAGCTGGATAATATTTTCTTGAAGGTACTGCCTTGACATCAACAAGAGGTGGCCTGTGAAAATTCTTCATATTTATCTTGTCATATTTTGATATTGATATGCTATATATGTAAAATAAATTGATGTGTGTCTCTTTTCAAAACTCTATAAGAATCCTATAAACATGAGATAATTTCTTTCCAGAACATTTTATACAATTTAAGAGGCACTGGGCTTAGACATTATTCTCTAAGATTACTTATGATCCTCCATTTATCTTAAGTCTTAGGACTGTGCAACTTGTCCAATTTTTCTTGTGTAAGTTTCAATATAATTCCCTAGGAAATGATTGATTTGTAAGTGTCTGCTCTCTTTGTAAACTGCACAGACACTGCAATACAACACAGATCTAGATTTGGCTACATATAGGTGCAGAGAAAACTTCTACATCCCTGTGAAAACAGGGAAGTGTGTCCCAAAACGCCAAAAACTGTGACTCAAAGCACAGTCCTGGGAAAACTCCAAATATGACGGTGGCCCCAATTTTCCCTTCCCCTGGTTCCATGAAATCAAACATTTCCACCATCAAGAACACTCATGTGATTTGGAGGAAGATATTTGTGACCTTCAGAACGACTCTCCTGGAAAGACATCTGGTCTACATCAGCCCCATGCATCAGGGAGATCCAGATTCCTGAATTCCAATGTCCACCAGTAGGTTCTGAGCAGGTGCTGGGAACATGTGACCAGCACTATACGTGGAAACACAACCCATGGTGTATGAGAATGACCTGTCTCCTTCCTGTGCATTCCCTCCAGCCATCCTCCCATTGTCCCACCTGGGATGTGAAAATGGAGGTGGTGAATGGGTGATGTCAATGGAAAAGTCTAACTGAAAGAGCACAAGAGTCTGTCTTGGGAATAAATCTGTTCCAAGCTCACCTCATAAAAAAGGCTAATTTTGTACTCTGAAAGAACTGACCTGTGATGTCCAGATGGAAGGACACCTTCTGGCCCCCAGCCTCACAGCTGTACTCCCCGGCGTCGGCCTTCCCTGCCTGCTGCACCACCAGCCGCCTGCTGCAGCCCT